CTACATACTTCCAGGCATCGATCCCCAATTGCTCAGTATCCTGTAAAGAGTCATTTATTAAAACCAGAAAAATAATGACAGCAAGACGGGTTCCCTGAGGGACACCTCCAGTTAAGGATATCCACTCAGAATATTTACCACGATACTTAAACCATTATCGTCATTCGTTCCTAAAACATTATGGACAATACAACAAGCTGAATACGATCGTTGGTTTATTTAAAAGGAATAGATCGCCTACGTTGTGACAAATATGCGGATGGCTTGATTAAATATTTGTTGACGTAACCAAACCGTATTCGTTATCATTTTCCTAAGCTTGGGAAACCTCTCTATTCTATCTCCCCACAAGGAGTATAAGACCGTATCTGGTAGATACTAGCTGAAAATTATGCAATTCCCCTCCAGAGATGAACATGTGTCTGTAGGACGTGTTAGATCGAATGGCTGGGGAATAATGAAAAATTCATGATCCATGAGGAATAGACCCACTGTTTTGGCCAGAAAAACGAGGGTGGGACTCTTCCTCACCTCTTGATAAACGAATGCAAGAAACAATATAACTGTTTCATTGTATATTAAGATTGAACAATTTACTAGAAAGGATTCGAATCAGGGGCAGATTTAGATGCTTTAACCTCCCCTAACATTTTACAAACATGCATTTTGATTTATTATTATGTAAGCCCTACCTTCATAGGCCTACATTGACCAAAATTAAATGGCTGGGGAATAATGTAAAATTCATGATCTTCGATGCAATATGAAACGGTTTATATTTTTAAACCATTCCTTATTAAAGGATATCATCATACAATATGATAGACTAATAGCGCTTCATGCCAACAAGGCTTAGATCGAATGGCTGGGGAATAATGTAAAATTCATGATCTTCGATGCAATATGAAACGGTTTATATTTTTAAACCATTCCTTATTAAAGGAACCTACCAGGTAGGCCTACCCACTTGTACTCTTGGGTGGAGAGAGACAGCCGTAGGTAAATTGCCTTGCCTAAGGACACACAAGCAAAATGCACAGCGAGTGCCATATTTTGTTATAAGAAATTCAAAGATGAATTGAAAAATTAATGGATTCATGTTTCCATATAAGTTTTCTTTTGTTTTCAATGTCCTTGGTGCTTGGTGCTTTATTAAAAATCAGCCTTGCTCTGGTGAATAAATTATCTCTAAAATTATATAAATATTGTGATAAATGTATATACAACAACTAGGCTTACAAGAACTTGATACACTTCAGTAATTGACAAGTATTTTCCCCAAAACTCCGACGAGCATTTCTCACGAAACACTAAGTGAAGCTAAATTTATTTTTATATTACAGTTCATTATACAATCTACACTCGTTTATAACGAAGTGATAAACACTTTATGTCAGAAAAGGACAAACATAGCAGGACTATCAAAGAGACAAGGAGGAATAGAGTCACTGTTTCGGCCACCAAAACGAGGGTGGGACTCTTCCTCACCTCTTGATAAACATATGCAAACTTGCCTGATGTTTAATGTATACATGGTTTGGCCCCACTACGATTATGTAACGAATTAGATATGGTTGTTGATCGACACGGATACTCAACTAGATGGTCTGACTCACTTAATGTTATACCACCAGTTTCAAACTGCAGCGCTATGGAAAGTTCGTTTAAAACTGCTGGGGCTAAAGTGTGGAACAATTTACCTTTTTCTATTAAACAATCTACTTGCATAAACAGTTTTAAATCACAATATAAAAAGCATTTCTTCAATGATTGATGGATTTTTTTCCTAATTATTTAGGCCTTTTTATGGTTTTTTCTGCTGTTTAATTGTCATTTTCTTGCATTTTCAAAAATTGAAAATTTTAAAAATTGTATAGGCCTTTTTTGGTTTTCTGCTGTTATGATTGTCTTTCTCTTTTTTCTTATATTTGATTGATGATAATTCTTCTTTTTTTCGATGTATATATTTATCTCATTTTAATTTTTAATTGGTCGAATACAGGACCATTTGAAAACCAGTTCATTCTGAAATGTTACGGTACCCTGTATAAAGATGTTTTAAATAAAAAAATAAGTAAAAAATAGAAATAACTGTTTCATTGTATATTAAGATTGAACAATTTACTAGAAAGGATTCGAATCAGGGGCGGATTTAGAGGCTTTAGCCTCCACTAAAATTTTACAAACATGCATTTTGATTTATTATTATTTAAGCCCTACCTTAGGCCTACATTGACCGAAATTAAAAACATTTATTTAATGCCTCTGAAATATCTTAGTTTATCAAACATTCCTTACTATTGTGGGGCCGAGGTAGGTGTTGATTGAAACCATCCGAAATATTTGATAGTCCCTTCCCCACCCTCAAAGAAAAGTTCTGAATCGCCCAAAGTGAATGAGGAATTAAATGTTTTTATGCGTTTTACGTTGTAAAACAAGGCACTTTACCTACGTTTGTGTCTCCAACCAGGAGTATGATTTGGTACCTGGTTGAAAAGAATGTTAAAGACGGCATGGAAGGGAACTGGCCACCCTACTGCACAATGCTGAGGCTTAGAACAGTAGGCTAACAGCTCATTCCCATACGTTCAATATTAAATAAGGGACTACCAAATTTACCTTTACCTTCACAGTGTAAATGGTTTTGTAATGTTTGTATGTTTTTTTGGGTGCGAATAAATCAAACCAATTCACATGATTGCGACCGTCAACTGAGCGTTTAATGCTCGTGTGAAACGATTGGATTGCCGGCATAATGAGGCAATTAACAATTCACTTATTCGTTTGTCTTTAGTTACTTGGAGAGGAACGTTTTCGGTGCATCGAGAAGATAAAGACGATAGGGAGCACGTACATGGCGGCAGCTGGTCTCTCAGTCGCACCTCACAAGGTAACAAAATAAATATATAAATATCATGAAGTAATAGTAGCTGTAATGGTAATAATAACTTGACTTAATATGTCTGTGAAACAGAACATAGAGCTCTTCCTCTTTTCCATAATGAGAAATTATGTTGAAATTACAAAACAAAAAAGAAAAAATTATTTAAAATTTAGGCCTATAAAGACAAAATAGAAATTAAAAACAAAAGTAAAATTATACTAAAGAAAATTATGTATAAAACAATATGAAAACCAACTCGACGTCAGTGTGACTCGGACTATGGCTGCAGTGGGATGTTGATATTTCTTACCAAACCGACCCTGTGGAGGCCAGTGTTAGTTTGTTTGCCTTCCGTAATATAAGTAGAAGGCAAACATTTTACAAGCATTTGACAGTAATTCTGTGTTTGACATAGATGTAGCTAATATGCGTTAATACAAACAAATTACCCGTTTAGTAATATTCAAAATATGTAGAATGACGTCATATTTTAATATGTACATCTTTGATATGTGGTATTTGCTTTGACAAAATTTGAAGAAGTTCCAAGTGCGGTAAACCAAAGTGCCAGACAGAAAACCCCTGTGCAAAAACATAGGTAAACGGGACAGAAGAAGAAAAAATCAATGGCTCTTTGAAAGCAAGAAAGGCCAATAACGAAGAATATATAGACCTAATATATATTACGTAGTTTTATTTTATAGGCCTATAACTATTTTTATATATTACGTTTAGTCAATTAAAAACTGCATTTGCGTACTTTAGTGTAACATAAAGCCTAACCTCGACAACATATCCCAGAGAAAATTTTTAAATTTCATGATGAAAAAAATAAATTCAAGTACACTGTATTTAATAGAAAGTACATATTAAAAAGAATAGAAGTGGAGGAGGAAAATCTGAAAAATCAGTGAAGTTATGAATACAAATGTGTTTTTCTCAAGTTTTACTCATGTAATCATGACAAGTAGGCCTACATTACTGGCGATTACACCGATTGTTATGGAAACAGAGCACGTTTCTTGAACATTTTAGAAAACCATTATAATGCTTTAAATGTCAGTGTGTTTTTGCAAGAAAGCGACATTAGTTTTTAATGGGTTACCACAGAAAGGGTTATTTTTTACAGGTTTTCTGAGTGTATTCTTGGATTTCCTATAAAGAGACTATTCCGAAAATATTGTACTATACTACCGTATGGGTATACTCAAGCGTATAGGGCTTTGAAATGTAAAACCACGTTGTAAATGCTAAAATCACAATGCAACTCAAAAAAGTGGCGAGCTAGCTTATTTTGCATTAAATAGATCATTACTGATAAACGAATATTTAGAACAATGAATTACTGGTGAACTAGACTGATGTATGCGAAATTGTAAATTCACTTGTCGAGATAAATGGATGGAGTTGTTTGATATAATCTTCCCGTCTCTTTTCCCGCACATTTAGGTTGGAGATGTATGGAAACCGATGTGTTCGTTGGCAGACTTCGCACTGGCTATGATGAGTACTTTGGAAAGCATAAATCAACATTCTTTCAACACATTCAAGTTAAGAATAGGTATGACTGCCCAAATGAGTCTTAATTTCTTATATTATCATGTTTTAATCATGTATATATCGTAATATAGATATTTCGTTTGTAAATTAAAGTAATGTAAAATGACTAAAATTGATACTGAATAATACAACTCTTCCATAATATACTTTATTCAACAATGGCTTAGGAAAAACAGCATATACAATAGGTCAAATTATAAATGAAAAAAAAAACCATTGTTAGGATCTCAAGTTATAAGGCAAGCCTTGTCTCATAGAGATCCTTAATAATTTATAATAATTTTTAAAAATAAGAACAATAATAATAGGAATAATAATTATAGTAATATCAGATGTATTGCTGGACCAACAGCAGCAGTGCAGTGCAGTGCAACCCCCAGATTTCTATATCGCGTTTTACATTTAGTTAGATAAAATTAAATGCCCGTGTTATTTTAACAGGTATCAATCAGGGTCCAGTTGTAGCTGGGGTGGTCGGTGCAAGAAAACCACTTTTTGATATCTGGGGAAACACTGTGAATCTCGCAAGCCGTATGGACACGACTGGTGTCCAGAATAAAATACAAGTCCCAGAGACAACCTACAAAATGTTAAACACAAAAGGTTTTCGATTTGAGCTTCGTGGAGAAGTGAACGTGAAAGGACTCAGTGAACCCGTTAAAACATACTTTCTTGTCGAGCGACATTCACCGCCACAAGGTTCGCTTGGCTGCTGTCTAAAAAGGAGACCCATCGAGAATCAATCCCTAGCCACGATCGTGTTTGGATTAGTTCGAAGTAAACGTTTCAGTCGCCAGGCTTCCAATCCTCTCCCGGAGGAAATCCCCAACAGACCCTCTCCACGTGACCTACGAAAAGTTTGCAGTTTAGTTGAAGAACCAAAGAAGAAGAATTATACAACTGTTAATTTGTTTTGAAAAGGAGAAATTGACTCAAATCTAGCATCATAACTGAGCTGTGAACGCACCAGTAACCAAAGTGATTTATGAACAAGATAAACGTTTTGTTCTTTGAGTACAATGCCAATATGCAAAAACTAAGGATAATGAATTACAGTCTCTTATTTGAGATATGATAGTCCTAGCAGTGGTGGCGAATTTCTGGCGCCACCGCTAGCCATGGTCCTAAGTATATATACTGTGACAAATTCGAATAATAAAATTCAATAATACCTTTCATAATTATATACTTTACATAGACCCATAAATTGATGGGTAATCAATTAGGAATTTCGTAGTAAAAGGTTTGTCATTCAATGAAGTTGAGTCGTTGCATTTTGTGTCTCATTTAAATGTCGATAACATTTTGATTGTTTATAAGGAATTGAATAGAGATATTTTCAGATTATATGTTATAAATTACATGTTTATTTTAACGCAATCCACAATAACTAATCATGTAATGAACAATATGTTCAAGTCGTTTGATAATGTATTTTGACGAGTATTTTGATTATGTGAGCCCGATATCCATACACAGGAGATGGGGATGATAAATTACTTTTATATATTTATCACAATCATTAATTAGGTGTATTAAAATTTAACAAAAACTGATCCTTGAGGGCCTTCGATACTACAGAATCAATGATTATGCCGGGTATTTTAGACACTCATTTTTCCGTGTTTATAATAATAATAATAATAATAATAATAATAATAATAATAATAATAATAATAATAATAATAATAATAATAATAATAATAATAATAATAAT